TTGAAACTCCCGAATGTGTGTCTGAGTGTGTGCAGCATGTTGAACTCTTCTCTGTGCCGAGCACTGTTTATCGTGCTGTGCAGCGCTTTGCAGAGCGAGAGGAAATCACAATGACGGGGGTTTCAAAACTCTCTGCAGCTGTTGAGAAAGCCTTGAGTCCCCCCTCCCCCCCCCCTCCTTCCTCTTGCTCTCTCACTATTTTTTCCCTTCATATTTCTCTAACTTGTTCATTCCCTTCTAGTCTCTCCCTACACACACACACACACACACACAAGCACACACAATGTGAAAAATGTAATGACGTTAAGTGAAGTCAACACATGTTTATGCAGTATTAAATTAATTTAATACATTAATGAAGTTCAACTAAATTGTTTAAGTAATACAAAGTTTAAGTTACTATTTTGAGTCAGTTTGATTGATGTAAGTTGAGAAGTCTAAGGTTATTTCGATTCAACTAAAAATGTAAGGCAAAATTTTGTACAGAGCACTTACTTTACACACACACAGACACACACTCTACTTAGAAATGGAGGCTTCTGAAGCAGCTCAATCTTACGTAATGTGCAGCATGTGTGTGTGTGTGTACATGCTCTGCACAGATGTTTGCACTTAAACCCAAAAGCAGTGGAAATTGTGCCATTTGAAGATTTCATATCAATATCGAGTCACATCAACATCATTTAAATCAACTACAGTACCAGATGCAAATCAATGATTGTTGTATTACAACTGATTTTGAGGTTGGTGACAAATGGTCACCTTGTAGTTACAAGGTTCTGTGTGCGTTCAGAATGATGAGATATTGGGCTTTAAAGTTTTTGCTTTACATATAGCAAACAGTATGTGTGTAACATTAGTTTAAATAAAAACTATTAAATTGTAAACAACTTATATAAAAAAACATCCCATAATGTAAATAAGTTGTCATTTAATGAGAATATGTCAATGACTCAATTTTGACAAAAATGTCAATTAGAAACTAATCTATAGAACTTAAGGTGACAAAATGGTTAACTTTAAATTTATGTAATGCTTATTAAAAATACATAATTTGGCACTATTTTTATACCCCTTCCCTTTCCCTTTAGCCCTTAAAACTAAATGAAAAGAGGAAGGGCTTCAAATTTTACCCCTAAAAAATGGGAACAGCACTACAGCACCTGCACATCATGCGTCATCAATCTCTTGCTTCATATGAAATCAGACGATCGCAACTGCTGTAGTTGTTCAAGTTGTGTTATTTTTTGGTATTTATCTTCATCACTGAAGGCAACAATATCATGTTATCATAACGATATAATGTGGCAATAAGATCATAACTGTACTGTGCATCCCCCCCCCCCAAAAAAGCTCATTCCCAGCCACTAGACTTTTCTGACAAGGTATTGGAGTGTCAGAATGTTGTGGGACTGCTATACATGAGTTATTATTATGGATTTTAGATCCATATAGGTTTTTATTTTAGCTTTTTTTTAAGCATGACTGTAAAACATGAACTACGTTACGGATGTATTCAAGCATATGCTTGTTTGTTGAAAAAACTCATAATAATGACAAAAAAATTATAATTTGTTGATGTTCTTGCTTCCGGGTGCAGCTATACTGCCATTGCTGCTGGTGTATTCTGGGAAATTTTCTTACCCCTTGGTTTTGAGTGTGGTCCTGAAAAATCTCTGTTCGATGGGCTATCTACCTCTTCCTAAAGATAGAAGCTAAGGGGTAAAATTGGGATTGGACCTTACTGTGGTTTGTTTTAGAGTTTAGGTTTAGTTGCATATCATTTTATATGCTATTAATATAGGGACACTTTAATAGGATAGTTTGAAAATTAACACTGTAATATTTTAATGCTATTAATATAGAAAGTACATGTATGAGTAACAGGGACACTGTTGAATAAATAAATACTTAGATAATTAATAGATTAAATAATCAGTATGTAGAATGCTTTAACAATAGTGCATAACAATCAAGAAAAATTGTATTTATTTGTGTATTTATGTATGTTATTCATTTATTTGCAAATGTTAAATGTAAAAAAATAAAGAATTATCATTTATCATATACTACATATTATACATTCAGATTTTATATTGTAAATATTATATTAATATTATATTATAATTAATATTATATTGAGAATATTCTCTTTGACACAACATACATTGTTAACCCTCGCTGTAATAAATCTAAAATAGCCAGTGTTTTGCTGTAAAGAAACATTATTTTACTGTAAAAAAAAACAAGGTAATATTTAACAGTGTAGTTTTCAACTAACAATGAAAACCTTGATGAAATGAAATTCATGCATTTTGGCCAAAAATGCAAACCTTGAAGAAGCTTTTTAATGTGAAAAGAACATGTTTTTTTTTTGTTTTTGTTTTTTTGCTAAAATTAAAAATTAAGTAATAATAATCAAATCTGTGTGAACTATAATTTTGCTTAGATGGGGCTGTCATGCAAGTGTGTAATTTGGTTAGTCTATATGAAAATTACTTTACAGTTAAAACAACAACGGCCAAACACATGGCCTGACATGCTGAATAACAGCCAAACCAAAGAGTAAATAAAATATTTTTCACATTTAAAATGACTGCTTTCTGTTTTTACAATGCAACCAATTCGTTTGATGATAAACTCTAAAAAAAACAGATGTATTTGTTATGGAAATTACTTCATTGTACATTCTGATCAACTTACTAGAATCATAGGTTAATAAAAAGTGTTTAATTTTACATTTCTGAGTGTCTTTCTTCTGTTAAACACAAGTGAAGATATTCTGAAGAAAACTAGAAACCTGTAACCATCGACTTTCACTGGTTTTCCTACAATGAAAGTCAATGATAAAAGGTTTTCAACTTTCTTCAAAATATCTTCTTTTGTGTTTAACAGAGGAAAGACACTCTTAAAAATGTATAACCACTTGAGGGTGAGTAAATAGTAAGTAAATAGGGAGTGATAACTATGGATGAACTTTAAACTAGATATACTTTTGAATACTACATGGCGGCTTAAGAAAGCCTGTTGGAAGAAGCTTGTTTAGTTTTAAAAAAGACCGATGCATGGATAGATGGATGGATATTTAGAGATAGATAGATAGATAGATAGATAGATAGATAGATAGATAGATAGATAGATAGATAGATAGATAGATAGATAGATAGATAGATAGATAGATAGATAGATAGATAGATAGATAGAGGATGGATGGATGGATGGATATTTGTGTCTTCGTACACATACTTTCTCCCTCTTTATCTCTCTCTTTCACACACACACTCACACACACACACACCTACCTCATGACATGAGACTGGGCGTGTTTGGGCAAGAGAAGGAATGAGCAGAGAGACGGAGCGTTGAGAAGTGCATTCAGATCAGTGACTACAAAACACAACACCTCTATCTGAGCCAATAAAGTACTTCAGCTTACTGTTACACCTCTAATCAACAAAACAAGGCTAGGATGTCATTTAAAACATATATTTAATGCCACCCGAGGTGTTTAAAGCTGAAAAGAGAAATTAGATGTTTCGCAGAAGTCTTGTGGTTAGATTAACAAAGCAAAGGAATCTATTGCTTTTTTAAAATAAAGGGATTGTTTACTCCAGTAAAGAAAATCTGCTGATAATTTATTCAAGCACTGGACATCACAGATGAACTTCTGGATTTTTAACGAATTGGGTTTTTAGCTTAAAGGGATAGTTCACCCAAAAATAAAAACAGCCTCATCATGTGATTTTCAAACTTGTTTGAGTTTCTTTCTTCTGTTTATCACAAAAGAAGATAATCTGAAAAATGCTAATATCAATAGCAGGAAAAAAAAATACTATGGAAGTCAATGGGTACCAACATTCTTATTAACATTAATAATAATAATAACAATAACAACCACAATAATAATAATAATAATAACGCAACATGATGGCTCAGTGGTTACCACTGATGCCTCAAAGCAAGAAGGTTGCCGGTTCGAACCCCGGCTGAGTCAGTTGGCATTTCTGTGTGGAGTTTGCATGTTCTCCTCATGTTCATGTGGGTTTCCTCCAAGCGCTCCGGTTTCCCCCACAGTCCAAAGACACGTGGTATAGGTGAATTGGGTAAGCTACATTGCCCATAGTGTATGAGTGTGTGTGAGAGTGTATAGGTGTTTCCCAGTACTGGGCTGGAGCTGGAAGGGCATCTGCTATGTAAAACTTATGCTGGATAAGGTGGCGGTTCATTCCGCTGTGGTGCCCCCTGATGAATAAAGGGACTAAGCTGAAAAGAAATGAATGAATGAATAATAATAATGAAGGAAAAAATGCATGGAGAAAAGTCCATTCCTATTAATTTTTATAAACCATTTGTTTTGCACATTATAGTTCACCCAAAAATGAAAACGAACTCACCCTTCGACTTGTTCAAAACCTATTTAGGTTCAACCTGTTTAAACACAAAAGAATATATTTTGTAAAAAGCTGGTAGCTGGTATTTGTTTTGCTACTTTGGAAGTCAATAAGACCTGACAACCAGCATTCTTCAAAATATCTTCCTTAATGTTCAACAGAAGAAAGAAAATTTAAAATCACATAAGGGAGAGTGAACAAGGAGGTCATTCTCATTTTTGAGTGAACTTTCCCTTTAAATTACTTCTTTAAATTGAATTGTATAGACACAAACATGTATTTTTGAGATGTGAAAGTTGTGATCGGTCACAGGAAGTTGATTAAACCCATGTCTCCCTTCTGTCTGCTTCTCATATTCCTTCCCTGCTTCCCTTTCTCCAGCCCTGACCTGACAGTCAACAAGCCCAGTCTGCTGACCTTTGACCTGCCGTATGTAAAGCCTTTCCAGGCCGGCGATACAGACAGAGACAGACAGACAGACAGACAGACAGACGGCAGCAGACATCTCAGACGGGGTTTATCAGACTTCCTGAGCCCCAGCGCGCTTTTCCAGAGAAGCAGAAGTGCTGGAGGTCAGATGTCATGTGTGAAAGCCGATCTGACGTTTACCTCGGCAGCGCTGGGAAGACTGTGTCCATTCTCCAGCTGAGGAGCTGCAGGCAGCAGCAGCTCGTCCTCTTCTGGGGGCTTCCAGATGTACTGCTCGCCGTTGCCCATGAACACTGCCTCCTGTGGGACACAAGAGAAACAGGCCGACGGTGAGCATTCATCAATCATGCACACGGGCCAAACAGGGGTGTATCTGACATCAGCAACTTCTGCTATGTGAACTAAAGAATTTTTTGGAGTTTGATTTTTTATGTTTTTGAATTCAGAACTTTTGGAGTATTTGATTATAGCAAAGCCAAATAATCAAAGAGATTATTGTAGTTAACAAAGCAACAACAACTGTCTATCTGTCTGTCTGACTATCTGTCAGTCTATTTATCTATCTGTCTGACTGACTGTCTATTTGTCTAACTGACATATCTGTCAGACTATGTTTGATTGTCTATCTGTCTGCCTGCTTGACTGTCTGTCTGCCAATCTGTCTATTTGTCTGACTATCTGTCTATGTCTGATTTTCTGTCTGTCTGTCTGTCTGTCTGTCTGTCTATTTGTCTGACTGACTATCTGTCTGACTATGTCTGTCTGTCTGTCTGTCAGTCTATTTGTCTAACTGATTATGTTGGACTATGTCTGTCTGTCTGACTTACTATCTGTCTGTCTGACTGACTGACTGTCTGTCTGTCTGTCTGTCTGTCTGTCTGTCTATTTGTCTAACTGATTATGTCTGTCTGTCTGTTTGTCTGACTGACAATATATCTGAATATGTTTGGTTGTCTATCTGTCTGCCTGTCTGACTATCTGTATGTCTGCCAGTCTGTCTGTTTGTCTGCCTGACTACCTGTCTGACTATGTCTGTCTGTCTGTCTGTCTGTCTATTTGTCTAACTGATTATGTCAGACTATGTCTGTCTGTCTGTCTGTCTGTCTGTCTGTCTGTCTGTCTGTCTATTTGTCTAACTGATTATGTCTGCCAGTCTGTCTATTTGTCTGACTGACTACCTGTCTGGCTATGTCTGTCTGTCTGTCTGTCTGACTGACTATGTCTTATTGTCTGTCTATCTGCCTGTCTGTCTGTCTGTCTGTCTTTTTGTCTGACCGACTACCTGTTTGACTATGTCTGTCTGTCTGACTGACTATCTGTCTGACTATGTCTGTCTGTCTGTCTTTCTGTCTGTCTGTCAGTCTATTTGTCTAACTGATTATGTCAGACTATGTCTGTCTGTCTGACTTACTATCTGTCTGACTGACTGCCTGTCTGTCTGTCTGTCTGTCTATCTGTCTGACTGACTGCCTGTCTGTCTGTCTGTCTGTCTGTCTGTCTATTTGTCTAACTGATTATGTCTGCCAGTCTGTCTATTTGTCTGACTGACTACCTGTCTGGCTATGTCTGTCTGTCTGTCTGTCTGTCTGTCTGTCCGTCCGTCCGTCCGTCCGTCCGTCTGTCTTTTTGTCTGACCGACTACCTGTCTATGTCTGTCTGTCTGACTGACTATATGTCTGACTGACTGTCTGATTGACTATCTGTCTGACTATCTATATATCTATCTGTCTGTCTGTCTGTCTGTCTGTCCGTCCGTCCGTCCGTCCGTCTGTCTGTCTGACTATCTGTCTCTTTGCCTTGTCTGACTGAGTCTGTCTGTATATGTATTTATCTTTTTGACTGTCTGGCTATCTGTCTGTCTGAAGGACTAAATTACTAACCAACATAAAAAAATCTGCAATAAAATGAAAATAAATTTATTGCATAAATGAAACAGACATAAAACTGAACTCCCTCAAGTTTTGGCACAGAAACATTTCATGTGACTTTAAACATGAATCAAAATTTACATACTCTGACAGCCCCAGTTATTCACTTTCATTGCATCAGAAACAGTGGCCAGTGCTCACAATCACTATGTCCTACAGATGAAAGAATGAGGTCATGCTGCTTTAAGTTCCTATAATCTGGGACTGATTGCTGTTTGTTACTGCAGCGGAGATGTTGAGTCAGTTGATCATTACAGGAGCGGATATATGTGTGCACGCTGTATACTGAGTCAATGATTAAAGAAGCACAGAAACACACCTTCTGTATGAATGATTAATGCCAGCACATGAATAGACACAGTGTTTGCTGCTATTTATTTCTCTGCTTGAAAAAAACTACTGTCAAGATCAGTTTTGATATTTTTGCCTTTTCAAACAAAGCGCTATTTCAATTTAATGTAAAGAAAACTTTCAAAATAGACTTTTAGGTGTTTTTTGTAGCACACTTTTTGTTGTTAGATTTCTACTTAAAGTCCTTGTGCAACTGAAAGTTGATGAGACTTTTATTTCATTCTGAAAACAGATCCATATATACATTTCTGGAGAGCGCCAAATACGTCCCAGGAGGTATGTTTTTAAGCGTTTTTTGTTTTTGTGAATCCACCATAGACCTCTGTGTATGCTTTGTCAGATCTCAAATTTATCTTGCAAGTGCCATTCACACCTGCTGTTCTTGCGTAAATCCACTAGAGGCCGCTGTCAACCTACTGACTGACTGAATGACTGACTGACAGACTGCATGATCGACAAGTATGCTTATGACTTCTTCAGACTGTAGATGTTTCTTAGGCATAGCTTTGTCATTTAGGCTTTTCTAGAGATTTTCAATCAGGTTTAAATCAGGACTCTGGTCTGGCCATTTCATTCTCTGCAAAAAAAAAAAAAAAAAAGTTTTTGTCTTGTTTCTAGTCCAAATTCTTAACAGTCTTAAATCAAGAAGAATTATAATGGTCTCATGACAATCATGTTTATGACAGACTTATGACAAGTTATATTGCCTTGATAATGTCAAGTTGTCAAGACACAGACGATAAGTGATGATCTATTTGTTTATGTAAAGCTGTCTTAATGACATAGTAAAAAACAACTTTTGACACTCAATAACAGTTGTCATAAGCATTTATAAAATCTGTGACATCACAATTATGAAAGTGTCACGAACACCCCTTTAAGTGAAGTTTTACCAATATTTGAACTTACATGACTAAATCACACTTTTTAACAAGCCCTGATTAAAACAATTAAAGCATTATCTCCTTATTTGTTGATATTTTCCTCAGTCTCTTCAGACTGTAGATGTTTCTTAGGCATAGCTTTGTCAGTAGGCTTTTCTGGAAATTTTCAATCAGGTTTAGATCAGGACTCTGATCCGGCCATTTCATAGTTTAAAGTTTCTAGTTTAAATGATAAAAATTCTTAAATCAAAAAGAATTATATTGGCCACATGACAATCATGTTTACAACAAACATTTGACTATTTACGTTGCCTTTGTAATTTCAAGTTGCAAAGACAAAGACGATGAGTGATAATCTAGTTGTTTATGTGAAGTTGTCTTAATGACAACATAATTTGACACTTATGACAGATGTTAAGCATTCATAAAATCTGTTACATGTCATGATTATGAAGGTGTCATGAACACCCCTTTATGTATAGCACCAATTTTTGAAATCGTCTTCCTCCAATCTTTATATGTTTGTATTAGTATTGTATGCAAATGACAGATGTCTCATTTGCATATTTAAACATAACATTTTAGAAAACTTGTAATACAATCTATTTATTATTTTGCTTTTGCAATTTGAAATGTAGTTAGTCTTTGGAAGTATAGTGACAGAAGATTAGCAAATTTTTACCTTGTTCACCTGCCATGCTTTGCCTTAAAAAAGGCAACAACACAGACACACATGGCAGGACATTGGAACTGTTCCAATACATATTACATAATCCAGCACTAGAGTGACACATGTGCTCCATAATTGCACCGCATGCTCACTTTTAGCTTATATTTACTCTATAAAATGCAGTCGCGGATATAATGCAGGCCAAACACACACTGTACATATCATTAGTCTTTGCTTAAACATCATTTAGGCAGACTGTATGCCAGATTCAGAACCACAAGTGTGCTTCGAATACAATACCGGGCCTGTGCAAACATGACATTAATCAACAAACCTGCATGTGACAAAGATTTTAATCTCCATATGTGGCAAACAAAAGGCACACACAAACACACACACACACACACACACACACACACACACACACACACACACACACACACACGCACACACACACACACACACACACACACACACACACACACACATTTGATGTGTCTTTCAAACACACTATATGGCAAGCTGTTTAAACATTTAATCTATGAAAGGCATTGATACTATATTGTTTTTTCATTTTCAACTGGTATTTATTTTTAGACACTACAATCTATTTAATTGCATGCTGGAACTTTTCCTTTAGATTTTTTACAAATACATGCAAAAGTGTAACGAATAATAAAATAGTGTATATTTAATTGGTAAAAGAATCTAATAAATGAATTTTGTAAAGTAATTAATAAAGTATTCTAAAACAGTTATACAGTTAAAAGTTAATAATAGTTAATACTCATACTCTTTGGGTTTGCAATTTAGAAAGTACAATTTGTATTTTAAAAAATAAAACAATGTGTATTTTAAAAAATTACAATTGATTTAATCTGTGTGTCAATAATTGTTTCTTAATGACTAAGTTAATTACTCTTCCCCACAGCTATGTACAGAATGTATGTACAGAAGGAAAGGGCTTTATTTTAAAGGCAAAACTGATTTTCTACCATTCAAATGCATTAATGTATTTGTAATAATCAAATACATGGTGTAATTGACAAATACACATTATAATATACAGTATAATGAAAGTAGTGGTTACAAAAAATATAGTATTTTGAAATGAAAAATCACTCTAACATAACTTATGATCTTGTTTCCTGAAGATCTGCAAAGGTACAGTGTTACTCCACTGCAATTTTTCAGTTATCAGAAATTTGTTGTATTTTTCTTATGATTTCATATTAAGCTTTTAGTTGGGCATCAGGGGTGTGAAAAACTTGAATATAAATGAATTACTTAATTTAACAAGTATATCATGACTGTCAACATGTGGTTTGATATCTTGCAGCAGACATTTTGTAAATGCATTTGTCGTGAAAATGATCACTGGTGTTATTTTCTTGAGGGTAACACCACTGCAGACAGTGTTTCCCACCGCTGATTTGTTTGTGTCCCCGTTGTTTCTATTTTTTTCCC